CTGAAAATCGTTGCTCACCTCACTCTGTTCAGATCTCTCCGACACATTTTGAGATGTTGATCTCGCTGCCCCTTGTACATAAAATCTTCATCACAACATGGGCACGGATTCCGTGGAATAGGTTCTTCTTTACCAGCTATCAAATCATGTTCCTTCCTGAAACGAATAAAACATCAGAGCTGCAGCTGGCAACTAATGTAAGTAATTGCTGCAGTGAACAAAGCCGTACAGATAATGCTGCGAAATCATATTTTCATTGGTGAAGAACTCCGGACAGAGAGCGCACTGGTACTTTCGTCCATCGAAATGGGGCGTCTGACGATGAACGGAAAGAATGATGCGCGATTCAGTGCGAAAGTTACACAACTGGCAAGTGTACTGCTTTAACTTATATGCTTCATTCTTCTTCCGCAACGCTTCCCAAACAGGCTTCAACTGCTGAGCCACCTGGAACGCAACGAACAGTGAGCACCGAGAGCAGAAATTCATTTACAGCCGCCACGAAAATCTGTCGCAGCTTATACAGCCATTTAACACTTTTTTAAAGCACTACCAATGCCAGCGCGAAACCAGTCTCACCCCTTGGCATGCAGTGACAAAAGTGGAACAGACTAGAGAGCGATGAATTCAATTATCACATCCAGCAAATTGGGAAATGTGACCAGGTAGGTATATATAGCTGACCGTGGTAACACCGCTGGAAATCAGTTTTGTCAACTTTTTGGATTTATTCAGTCCATGCTGCCATCCCACTAGCTTACGAACACCACTCCCGCTATACTTCGCAGACTTACAATTGTGGAGTCAAATTCGTCCCCTGACCCAGGAATGGTGCTCACGGTTAATCTTGTGGCCACAGAATTGACGCCAACTAAAATGTGCATGCAGCAGGGTAAAAAAAAAGGCTAAAACCTTAACAGCTAAAAAAGCACGCCAAAATGCTGTAACATGGCAAAAACAGTACCCTCAAAATATCGACACGGACGAAGGACGCCTGTCTCTGTACAATGAGTAACAGCGCACCAGCATACGGTTCCAACACCTGGCTATCAGCGCAGCAGCCCAAAAAGGCGCTATAGTGAGAGAAATGTGATCAAAACGGAGATCCCAGCATTATATTTTAGACCCGTAAAAAATGCGATGCACGTCAAGGAAGCGGCATACAGAAGTAATGTGACACCATGAAAGAAGGTAGGATTTGCTGAGTGAGACAAGCTACTG